AAAAAAACTGATTCAAGTGTCATTTAGATTTATATATTTTTTTTGTTCTCTCATTCTACAATAATGGTTAAGAATAAAACAATGAATTTTAGGGTTTAATAACCTTTCCACACACATTTTGAGAGTTAATTTATGAAATTTTCTGTTTGTTTGGTTTAGAAAAAAGGAGTTAATGAAAAGATTATGCAACAGAGATTTTTTTATTCTTTTTTACGTTTATAATAATGAATTTGTTAACTGATGAAATAATTTCTTGTGTTTGTTTTAGTTTTGTTAATATACATTAAATTTCTATTAAAATGAATAAAAGAGTAATTAAAGTTATAATTCCATGCTTATGAATTAAAACTTTTATAAAGAATTATTACCTTTTCAAACGTGATTAATTTACATATGTCATTAGGAAATTCTTTGTAAATTAACTTCTGATTTAGTTTCTATCTGTTTGTGGTATTGATTTACATAGGTCATCAGGAAAGTCTTTGTAAATTAGTTTCTGATTTAGTTTCTATCTGTTTGTGGTATTGATTTACATAGATCATTAGGAAATTCTTTGTAAATTAACTTCTGATTTAGTTTCTATCTGTTTGTGGTATTAATTTACATAGATCATTATGAAATTCTTTGTAAATTAATTTCTGATTTAGTTTCTATCTGTTTGTGGTATTAATTTACATTTTTTGCAGTAGTATCTTTTAAAATCAATTTTGTAATAATAAATTATACAGTATGAAATTGAAGAAACATGTTTAAAATTCTTAAGTAGGTTTTCTATATAACACCTTTCAATTTCCCAAGTTAATGTAATATTGACTCGGGTCTGTTGTGTTCAAACCCAAACACAGCGATATTAGTTAACAAGTTTTTATAAAGGAATGAAATATAATTTTATATCATATTTAACTTTTATAGTTTTCTAATGACAGACGTATTTGCCATTGTAGTAACTACGTTGTTTCATGAGTTGGAAAATGGCTGTTGTAGCATCTAATAATCTGATGCTAATGACTCTGAACTGTTGTGTTACGTTACATTAGGTTCTGCTGAGGTGTATATAATAGAAATCTTATGCTAATGACTGAGCTGTTGTGTTAGGTTACGTTAGGTTCTGATGAGGTGTATATAATAGAAATCTGATGCTAATGACTCTGAACTGTTGTGTTAGGTTACATTAGGTTCTGCTGAGGTGTATATAATAGAAATCTGATGCTAATGACTCTGTACTGTTGTGTTAGGTTACATTAGGTTCTGCTGATGTGTATATAATAGAAATCTGATGCTAATGACTCTGTACTGTTGTGTTAGGTTACATTAGGTTCTGCTGAGGTGTATATAATAGAAATCTGATGCTAATATCTGAACTGTTGTGTTAGGTTACATTAGGTTCTGCTGAGGTGTATATAATAGAAATCTGATGCTAATATCTGAACTGTTGTGTTAGGTTACATTAGGTTCTGCTGAGGTGTATATAATAGAAATCTGATGCTAATATCTGAACTGTTGTGTTAGGTT